TGGCACAACTGGAACGCCACAGTCCACAGCTGGAACAGCAATGCCAAACATCAGGGGGGCGTCGCGCCAGACAGCAACGTCTGCACTGCACTGTACCACTCCAGTGTGGAGCGCCTGGGGTCATTTTATTTCTTTAGAAAAACAAATGAAAAGTATCCACAAATACTAATAAAGTTACAGGTCCTTGATGAACGATGAAGATCTTTATTAAGGTGGATTTTAAGTTTCCTCTGAGATATTGTAGAGACTGTAGGCTGTACTCATTTCTTTTAAACTCTGAAATGAATTGCACTGCTGCATTTATCCTCTACAGTTTCTCTGTACACATGCTAAAAATGTGACCCAAACAGACAGACAGTGCATTTCTCCCTACTGTATGTGATCTACAGCAGTAGCTCTCAAGCATGTTTTGCAAGCAAGCATATGTCTTAAAGTGCTGTGCTGTTTAAGACATATGTGAAATGCTCTCCGATTCAGAAGGAAACTATGTGATTCTCTTCAGTTCCCTTATGGCTTTGCTCATCTGTTGGTCACGGTCCCTGTATGTACGCTGGCAGGTGCTGTTGTCAGGCTGTAACTGGTATCCGTAGCGACAGGAGCACACAAACCTGCCTAGGGAGTTGTGACACTCATGGTGACACGCCTGCCCCTTGTCAGCCTCTACAGAGCACTCGTCTATATCTCAGAGAGGAAAGAGAGAGGTGAGCACACCCACTGACTGACTCCCTCCACCTCTATATAATACATCAACACTGAGCCAAGAGAAAGACAGTTTGGGTTTAGTATTGATAGACATTAAGATAAAAGGATGGAACATTGGTTTCCCACACCTGGGAACTGTGCACTCAAGTTGTCACAAGGGAGAGAGAAGCAACTACTGTGAGGTCTGAAAACTTTTATAGAACTGAGCACTGAGTTCAATAAGCATACACCTTCACATTGATAAAATCAAATCTTGTAAAACTCAACAAGGTAGCCCAGCTAGCCACACATGTCCACAGTGAGCTCCCTAGAACAGAAACTATGATGTCACCATACCTCTTGTAAAATATATTAATTTGAAAGTTGAGCACGTTCATAGCCCATTCACAGTCCACAATCCAGTGGAGTAAGATCTTCTTGGATAAGTCTCAACCCTAGACCCCAACACCCCAGCTGATGACTGATAAACCAGGCTTGTCTGATATGATATAGTAAACACAGTACCAGCACTGGAGCTTATTGCAGGTAAAGGACGCCGACACATGGTTGTGTCAGGTCATGTTAGGAAGGACTGCAGTTAAAGTGGACCTGCCACTTGAGGTCGCCAATGGCATCTATTCACTGTAAATAATCTCACCAGGTGATGATAAATTAGGTAAATCATTTTTGAAGGATTTAGGTGGCACATTGAGACATGGGTGTGATGAATGGAATATTCAGTTTATAAATGATCTGATGGTCTACCTTGGTGGCTGGGATTTGAGTTGCAAAGAACAAACTTATCAAATAAAATCTAAATCTAGTATCTATAGAATATATAATCTAAATCATTATCAGTCCTACCTGTTGCAACAGCTCAAGCTTTACTTTTACTGAACTGGTTACACACATTGTTAAGTTTCCAGCTGATAAAAACCTCTCCCTTTTCTATTAAACCTCATCACATTGAGAGCTGTATCCATTGAATTCAAGTTTATCAGAACTGATCAAATCAGAAGCAAACCGGAAGACAAGAACACAAACACTGACCAACAGCCCTGTAGATGGCTGAGAAGCCACTGTATCTGTGTGGTCCTGGGGATGAGGCGTCTGTCTTGAAGACGAGCCGCAGACTGTTGCCAGGTGACATGATGGAATAGTTGCCAGGGTGATCAGCCTTGGAAAAATAATACTGACTACAGAGCACTCCCAGAATTCTTTTCTTATAAAGAACCTAGACAAAAAAGGAACATAAAAAATGCTACTACAGACACACCAAAAAAGATGCATAAAATGAAGACTTCAGGAAACCAAAATCAAGAAACACAACAAGATCTGTAGCAAGCTGTCAGGTGTCAGAAGCTCAGGGCAAAGACCCTGACACAGACAATAAAGACAGGAGTAATTTAATAAGACCACCACAACAACTCTAGAGGCATCCTAACAAAAAGAGATCAAGACTGTGATATAAAACCTAGAGACACAACTGAGTTCATTCTGAAGATTTAACCCAAGATTTCCTGACGTTCTATCAATCTCACCATAAGGGAGTCACAGTAGCAGTTCCTTGAGGGCTCAATGTCAAGTTGTAGGAAAAAGAGGTTGAGGATGTACCCCTGGGGTACAAACAGGTCCCATATCTCATTGTGAGAGGGAGGATATGGAGCGGGGTAACCAGGCGACTGTACTTCTCCATACAGTAAAGGGAGGGACCCTGAAATCGCAACTCCCCAACACTGGAACAAAAGCAGCAACCTGAAAGAGCAATAGGGAGTAATAACCATGTAATAACACAATGCAACCTGTAACAATACATGAAAGACACTGTAAAAATAGACGCCAGAACAGCTTAAACCATTTAGCTGTCTGCTGCCCCCAAAAAGGCAAAACAGGCACAGAAATAAGGCTTTTATCAGCAGTGTTGTGTATTAACAAAGAAAAGTTTCATCATATGCAACCACACAATAATAAGCAAGTGTACTTCATGGGATATATGAAGAAACTACATACCAGAAAAGTAACAATAAAACAATTTAGGTCAGATGAGTATATCCACAAAGCAAAATTGTTGCTTTTTTATACATTTCTTAGTCACAGGCAAGGAAAGACATTTCAATATAATTGTTCAGCCACCCTTAGCTGTTTAGTTAAATGATTCTATACATACACAAACGTATAAGGACTGAGCGTCTCATTCACCATGTCTCATGGATGAACAGACTCATACTCGTCACCGTTAGTGCTGGATCACTGCAAACACTCCTTTACCATGTAGCACTAATAATACAGTTTGTGTAGTTAATACAGGGCAGTGTTGTGATCTAGAGCAATGTGTCATGCTTCCCAAAGATGGATAAATAGGTCTACCTGAGTAAAAAATTAACTTCAGAATGAAAACAGATAGAGAGATACAGAGGTGGACTGCAAGATTCTACATTAAATTGATAGTTGTAGGATGGAGGGAGAGGGAAGGAGTTGGTATGTTATCCACATATAACATGAACTGGGGCTGAGGTGGATTGCTTCTCAGACAGGGCAAGTAACCTGGGGCACTGCGCCTGTCTCCTTCCTTACTGAATGAAACAGAACAATGTAAGAGAGGGAGACAAACAGTTGGGGGCAGGGACTGTACAGGTAGTTGTATTTCAGTGTTTGATATCACATCCATTTGTTTGTTCATTAAAGTACAAACTCCACTCTCTGTATATTCAGGTCTGTTAACTCCTTTAGCTCCGTGCTAAACACTTCTATTGATCTGGTCAAGTGTGCAGGTTGAGTTCAAATCTGTGGTCTTCAACTTCAGGAATGCTGTCTGTGAAAGAACGGACACACTTCAATAGAAATAAAATACAATAAGTATGGAATCAAACTAATAGTCTTCCTTATGAACCATATAAAATGGTTAAAGAGTATCCAGATAAATAAATGAAGTACACATCAAAGACACTAGTATAGAATATTTAAAAAGGCAACAGCTATACAACCTATAAGAAAGACTGTTTCTCATTCCTGTAGTAGTCATTGGAGGCCTTAATTTTCCGCACAAAGATTGGTAAAAAGCAGTAGGGAGGTCAGCACCTGAAACTTCAATTTCTCTAGTCATCTATTCAGAGGATACTCATTTGTGAGTTCAACACTCACAGAAATGTGTTTGTGCAGTGTTCAAAACAGGAACATTCCCCTTTTGTATTAAATACCTCTTGGTTAGTCGATGACTCCCGTCTGGATCATGAGGACAGAAACAGATCTGGATGGCTGTCTTAGCTGAACTGGGAACTCAGTCTCCTTGAATCTTTACTGGAGCTTGATCTATCATGATGTCATTTATGTGGCACTTGACATTAGTTACATGGATCAACTGATCGCCTGGCCCGTGGTGCCAGTCGTGATATGGTGGAGACTTTGGATGCCTCTCCTGACACAGTCAAAACCTGGTTACCTGGGGAATGCAATGTAGCTACTTGACCATAATTTAGAGGTCTTTAGATTTCACAATTAGAAGGGAGTACCACTGAGGTGGTATGGATGAGAACTGAAAAATGCTTAATTTCATTTTTATGCTTGTAGCGAATTCTTAATTTAGAGTCGTCATTGAACGTAATCAATATCTTGGATAAGAGAGCTGGACAGAAAACAATGTACAGCTAAGGTGTTGTAATTAATGCTGTAACAAAGGAATCTTGTTGTGATTAGTGTTGTACCAAAGAAGTCAGTACTAGGACAGCTGTCTGTCCTTATTCACATCCGTGACACAGATTCCGGTGTAGTTAGCAAACTAGTCACATTCACAGCTGACTCCAAACTGGTAAGATAGGTAAACACTGTAGAAGCTGTGAAGGACATGACAGAAAGATTAAGACAAACCTCAAGACTGGAAAATTCCTGGCTGATGACATTTAATATTGAATAGATTACATTTATCTATAAGGGAAGTAAAAATCAAACTATAAATAGAAAAAGCTTCAACTATGTACCAGTGAAAGGTATGTTTTCAGACCTTTTTTTAACTTCTAGATAATGTGTAATTAAATACAATAAAGTATAATTCATTCAAATTAAGAACAATTAAATAATATTATGGTCTCTGCTTTCAGGGGGAATCAATATAGTTTTGAAAAAAATACCAATTTACATAGAGGAAGTTTCTTATGATCTGTTTAGACCTATTGTGATCTGATAGAATAGGTCAGGATAGGAAAATAATGTCTTATTTTATCTTGACCAAAGTAATATCATTTATAGTGACTCAGTTCACTGTAATTAATGTATTAGAATAGAATTTGGTTCATTTCCTGCAATGTAACAAAAGACAATTCCAATACTTTTGCACAGTATATCGTAGTTTATTGCCATCTAATGACACACAATAGAATAAAACATTATTTGCTGTAATGATAAAATAGAGTCCATGAATGTATCCACAATTTACCCCTTAACTCTATATCTAATATACTATGATTACCTGTATATTTAACACAATATAATATAATATATTCTTATAATAATGAATGAAATTAACTACAACACACTTTCAGATACACATGATATAATTAAAAAATAAGAATATTTTATTTTAACGTAATGTACTCCAGATTAAATCTGTTTTATTCAGTAAAACCTATTTTCTGGTGCAATTTTTTTTGTAACCCTTTGAAATATGTCAGAATATATTGATTTCACCACTGATAATTCCACACATTTAGTTGAAGGTGAATGTAGTATAATGTAAGATGATGTTCTACAACACTGTTATAATCTAAATTAACCTAATGCACTCTATATTACCCACTTATTTGTGTCTAACCTATCCTCAGCTAATGAAATTTATGTTTGCTTAACGTACAGTAGAATAATCACATGATCTGCTCTAACCAGTCTATTCTTAATCTTCTTCATCTCTCTCCTCTGTCTCCATGGTTTCTGTAATCCAGTCCAGGTAATTGTCTACTTTAGTGTAGTAACCCCTCTCCTGACAGATTATTCCCCAGGACACAATGCCGTAGAGACGGAATTGGCCCCTTTCTATCTGTCCTCCTGCTCCTCTCCGAAACTCTCGGAGGAAGAAGGGACCCCCACTGTCTCCACTGCAGCTATCTTTATCCTTCTCACCAGCACAGAACATGTTCTCACTGAATGTCTGCGTCACTGGCTTTCCATCTTTCCTCTTGGAGCAGGTGGCTCTGTCCTTCACAGGGATCTCAACATACAACAGTTTCGAGCTCAGTGTGCCATGTTCTGTCCTGCCCCATCCTGAAACAAACCCCAGTCTTTCGGAAATAAGAGTCCCATCGTCTTTCCTCTCGGGGAGACAGATGGGGAGAAGATGGGGTCCCAGGGGTACACGGGATTTCAGTCTGACCAGGGCGATGTCGTTGTCATAATTGGTACGTCTCCCACTTGTTGGGGCTTTTGGGTATCCTGGGTGGATGAAGATCTTCTCACTCTCCAGAATCACAACGTTCTCTGAGCTTCCTATATTCCCAATGTCCGCTGTCCCCCCGTACAAAAGCACACTGTGCTGCCCTTCAACCACATGAGCAGCTGTGAGGACCCATCGGTCGGAGATCAGAGATCCTCCTCCTTTTGGATTTTCAACATAGACCTGCCAGGGGATCTGACCAGGCTCTGCCTCACTTCCTCCAAAAATACGGCCAAAATCAGAGTGCTTGCTCTCGGGCTCTCCACACACTGTGAGAAAAGAGTACAGCAGAGAGAAGAGTAGAAAGAGAAGAAACTTTGGAGGAACTCATTTGCCATGCAATTTAATATTTAATAATTTCTCTACTATCATGTATTATGTTGCGTCAATGCTTATTAATAAGACAGAATTACATGTTGCTATGCTTTCCTAAATGAGGCCCCATCTCTCTTCCTCATCTCTGTGGTGCAGCCACAGAGAAGCTATTCATGCATTTTCTGATTTCAAGTGTTTTCTCTCTGATAAGGAGCAGCTCCCAAATGGGGATGCGCCCAGCCATGCTTGGCTATCATGATCAATGGCCATTCCTAGCTCCTATCTGCCCATGGAATTCCTGGGAACATCTGGACTGCAGTCCTAGATGTCAGAGGTCATTGTTACTCATCTCTCACCTTCACCAACCAATCAGGAACCTGCAGGGCGTGGCAACCCCACATGGGTCTCAAATGCCCTCTAAACTCTCAACCAATCATCACCCGTTTTGGTTCTAGTTTTAAAGGCACCAGAAAGAATCAGAACTTGGCTTCTCCGGCCATTTTCACACCCTCAGAGACAATCACATGACGGCCAGTGTTGTCTGTATAGGGACTGGAAGCTTGTTTCTGGAAAGTGTTGGCCCAAATTGCTAGCCGCCAACGTGGATGCTTTGCTTGATCACCGGATTAAATGCTTGGACTCTTGTTGACAACTGGATACTGGAAGCAAACCACGTTTCTTCCCCCAAAAGAGTGACTTGCTCAGACCCACGATCAGCCTCTGTGCATAGAGACCTTCTACTAGTCAGCCGGACTACTAGTACTGTAGGTCCCTGAGAGAGACACTGTCTGACAGCAGAAATCTCTCCTCCTAATTTCTCCGACTTGGAACAGCTTCAGAACTGACACTGAGCCAGAGGACGCCGATTGGACAGAGCCTGCCAGCTGGTCTTTGGTGTCCATGCCGGGAAATACGAATCCATATCTGGATAAGTAAACCCAATGTATACATTGCATCTCGAGAATTCAACTGTTACCCCACCACAAGTTGATATCAATTCAATTCACATGAGTAATGTATTTACTTTTGAGTAGGTAATGTAGAAGTGGTAATAATGAGACTGATTAACGATAGTACAGCCAAATGGTATACTGAAGTATATTCTTTGGTTTGCATCTCTTCGTGATTATATACCTTGCACTTTGATAACCCTCACAGTAAGATCTGCCAGCTGTATCTAGGCAGACTGGTATGTGTTTTATATGCACAATTTATGTATTAATAAATGTATCTCGTGTATTGAACCCGTGTGTGCGCATCGCTGATCGATTGATTTTCTAATAGCCATATAAGTATCACCTCAGGGTCACTGCTACAATTAATAAATTGTCTCAGTAAATTCACAGAACTCCTACAAATACTACTGATCTAATTAAACAACAGTTATAACTGAACAAATAAGCTGGACCGTCAATGACTGCCACTGCAGGGGGCTCAAGAACTATTAGCAAAGAAGAACAAAGAAAAGCCACATAAAATAAACAGCACAGATAAGGAGCTATATTTGGTGGCCTCCAAAATGAGAAAACCACAGGCTCTTATTCGAATACGTTTTTTTTTTCAAAACAAATGCTGAGCAAGTTTTCCTCAAGAAGTAGCGGCTGTACTGTTTATTTCCTATGTTTATTTTAGTTAGTCTTTACCAATTTTGACGGTGAGCCCGCTGTATAACAAAGCAATTGTAAAGTATGTCCTAGAGTCAAAACAGTATAAAACCAGAGTTTTTTTGTGACCTGGAGTTTCCCTACTCTACTTGAACAGATGTGAAAATGGGTGGAAAACCTTCATTCCTATATTGTTATTCCTAATATTAATGATCACTTATTGTTATGTAGAGTGCTCTGAGTGGAGTGACTTATTGGTAGCAGTAGTAATCCCTCTACCTGTTTTCAAATTAATTCATTAAATTCAGGGTCGCAGGGGAGCCGGAGCCTATCCCAGCAAGCAACGGGCTCAAGGTGGGTTACACCAGCACATCACAAGTCATATTATTATAAGCAGTAGTAGGAATATTGATCGTGTGTACCTTCAACACATTTTGGCCAATGACTGCTGCCCTTCACAGAACTCCATTCACCCTGCGCATCGCATCTGTACACATCTGGGAATGAGAGACAGAGTTTCATTATTATGATATTACACTATATCACAGTGTTGAGTATAACAGACATTAGTGTTACGCTATTACAAACACACAATAGAAACACCATACAGTCAAAACAATTCTAATATGTAATATAAGAGAGATAAAATAAGCTCACTTTCTCAGCCATATACAATTTCTAGTATTAGGAATTTGTCTTTTCACAGACCCCAGCTAGCTCTCCATGAGACACACAGACAGGGAGAGAAGCTGGGGGTCAGAGTGCAGAGTCAGCCATTTATATGGCACCCCTGGAGCAGTTGGGGTTCAGGGCCTTGTTCAGGGACCCAACAGAGTAGGATTCCTCTGCGGGCCGCAGGATACGGACCGACAACCTTCCAGCCACAGGCGCAGATCCTGAGCCACAGAGCCACCGCTCCGCCCCAGTATAGAGACACATACCAGAGAAAGAATGAAAATGATGGTACTGTATAAAAACACAAGAGATAATACCTAACGCTTGATATAGACTCTAAAATACACCATACTGCCACACCTCACACAGAGTTATATAGATTCTAAAGACAAACTTACAATCGTACTTACAAACTTACAAATCAATAGGCTTTAATTGTAAATCTGTAGTACTGAGAAAATGGGTGAGTGAGTCAAACAAGAGCAGGACAGGAATGTTACCCTCTCCCTCCAGCTTGTAATATTTTGACTCGCACTTCAGCTGGATCTCATCCTGGTACAGAGTTCTCGGCTTTTTGTTGACCAGCTGCAGTACTCCGCTCTCAGGTAGAAGAGGTGTGCCACAGTCCACACCTGGAATGGTGAACATACACATCTGGATGGTATCACA